TTTTTACTCAGATCGATGAAATGATTTCGTGAATTGGACTACGCATACATGTGATACTTTTGCTTTTAATTTATAAGGTAATTTAATGTTTTTATACTCTTGCTCATGGGCGTAACCAGAACGAAATTTAAGGGGGGGAGGGGGGGCCAATAAAAATTTTTTTTCAACGCCAATAATTATTACTAAAAAATTTTTATTATAGCTTAAAATTATTGTAACCAATAGAGGTATGTTGTACACAAACACCAGGGACCGTAAATAACAGTTACTTTTTTTCAACAGCTATACTTGATAAAGGTATAGATCTAATGATGCACAAAAAATATGCATACTTAGAATTTTGAATACACCCTCACAATCTGGACTTACGGTATAAAAACGCGGTTTTCGTAGTTTGAGCCTTATAATTGTTCGTAACTAAATTTCTGTTGATCCGATGAAAAATATATACAGTACGTACACGTACCGCAATCCTCAATACGTACAATTCCTTCATTAATGCAAGTCTCTAAAACAAAACATTGTAACCTTTATAAGTGCAACTCCAAAACAATTTTACCTCAATACCTACAACTTTCTTCGTTTATGCACGCCACGCACACAAAATTTGAACTTTTTGCATTTCTTTGATTAACCAGTATTCAATTAAAGTGATGTGTGATGAGCAGGACCGAAGAAAATAAGCTGGAAAAAAGCAAATTTAAACGCTTAGATAAACATTAAAACATTAGTAAATATGCTTCCAAATATGCTCGAAAAACAACCAAAAATCTAAGTACAGTTTGATGCTTTGTTTTTTATTCAGTTTATTACTAGGATTGGACGGAGTTCGAAATTTTCATATTTCCAGTAGTGTTAATGCATCGATTTAGTTTTCACTTTTTACTATTATAAAGAATAATGCGGATTATATTACACTAAGATATGAATTCTCAATATCTTTTCAAGTCTGAATTTAATTGTTTTCAAATATTTTTATCCTCCATTTGAGTTAATTATTTTTAATCTCTACCATAACACCAATGCCTTCCCGTAGACAAACCTTTGGTTTTAAATTTTTGTATCTAAGCAGAACTGGAATTCAAGTTACGAGTTAAAAAAAAAACCAAATTGGTTCTTATGTTATTAATTGCAGACCCGGCAGACTTCATCCCGCCCAAATTTATTTTTTTATTTAAACATTTGGTTCAACGTTTTTACCAACAGTTACGTTCACGTTTGGTTTGTTGTCGTCAGGAGGCATATCCTCCATTGCCGTCTTAAATAACCTAATGAAAGCATTATGCCCGTGAAGAAGTTCTTGTGGCAACAATTATCTGGTCCGATGGTGAATCATCCTTGTGGCAATTTCAAAATGGAGGAATATCATTAGTTCACAGAAATCCAATATACATAGGCTTATGTCAGACGAAATACCTTAGAAGTGCTGCAATTGTATTTCGATGGCTGAGTGGAAGATCGACCTATCTCGGCTGCCAGTTCGAAAACGCTCTATCTCAAAAAACTTTTCAAGAA